TGGAGGGGCAGGCTGACTCGACTCTACTGGAGAAGAGAGGAAAACACCCATCATTGAGCCACAGACTGAATACTTACTGTGGGTACGCTCTGTCAGATGCTTTACATGCATCATCTCCCTACATTTTCTCAGCAGTTTTATAATCCTTACTTTACAGAGGAAGAAGCATATTGCCCAGACAACTATGTGTGTGTGTTTGACTGGGATGCATATTGTTGACTTATTTTTATTTTTATTTATTTTCATTCTTGACTTTCTGTCCCTAATGGGAATCACTATCTTTCTTCTTTCTCATCAAGAACTGAAAACTGTAGGACTAGGTTATCAAACAGGGGTACCACAGAGTTCTTACTGTTTGATCCAGTACCAGGTGGAGTTGGGAGGGCAAGAATGACAAAAGTTCTGTGACTTCAGGAAGGCCTATTCTGCCTTGGAAAATGATCTTTAGATGTGGAGATGGCTGAAGGACAGTTGCATAATCTTGGCAGCCGGTTCAAGTGAAGACAGACAAGGGAGTGAAGTTTCCTAGCTTTGAGTGGCAGATGCTGAAGGGGATCTGGAAAGCCAGGGAAGAAGAGAGACTTGGGACTGGAGAGATAAAAGGTTGTGGGTAAAAAGTTCCTCCCTAGCTGGGCATGGTGGCTCACGCCTGTAATCCCAGCACTTTGGGAGGCCGAGTCGAGTGGATTACAAGGTTAGGAGATCGAGACCATCCTGGCTAACACGGTGAAACCCCATCTCTACTAAAAATACAAAAAAAAAAAAAAAGCCAGGCATAGTGGCGGGCGCCTATAGTGCCAGCTACTCGGGAGGCTGAGGCAGAAGAATGGCGTGAACCCAGGAGGCGGAGCTTGCACTGAGCTGAGATTGCACCACTGCACTCCAGCCTGGGCGACAGAGCGAGACTCTGTCTCAAAAAAAAAAAAAAAAAGTTCCTCCCCGCTGGGCACCATGGCTCACACCTATAATCCCAGCACTTTGGGAGGCTGAAGCAGGTGGATCACCTGAGGTTAGGAGTTTGAGACCAGCCTGACCAATGTGGCAAAACCCTGTCTCTACTCAAAATACAAAAATTAGCCAGGAGTGGTGGTGCGTGCCTGTAATCCCAGCTACTGGTGGGGGCTGAGGCAGGAGAATCGCTTGAACCCAGGAGGTGGAGGTTGCAGTGTACCGAGATCATGCCACTGCACTCCAACTTGAACAACAGAGCAAGCCTCCATCTCAGAAAAAAAAAAAAAAATGTAGAGGCACACAGAGCCTGGGTTCAGATCTTAGCTGTGTCGCTTATGGGCTCTGTCACTTGGGGTATGTGACCCCACCTTCCCAAATCTCTTTTCTCATCTGCCAGATGAGCACGCTAAAACAAGATTAAAACAGAGATGAAAAGCAATCATATTTTTAGCCATAGTGTCTGGCACATAGTCAGTGCTCAATAAACAGTATCCTTCATTCTGAATGAAAGTGTCGTATGTTATTGCTATTGTTAGTAATAGCAACAACAATAGTGGTATTGGTTCTACTATTAATTTTAACCAATACTCTAGGCATAGTATGAGTTGATGACTTTGAATGAATGGATTTAGCAGATGTTCTCTTGGCTGGGCACAGTGGCTCATGCCTGTAATCCTAGCACTTTGGGAGGCCGAGGTGGGCAAATCATTTGAAATCAGGAATTCAAGACCAGCTTGGCCAAGATAGTGAAAAAAGTAACAGGCGGGATGCGGTGGCTCACGTCTATAATCCCAGCACTTTGGGAGGCCAAGGTGGGGGGATCACCTGAGGTCAAGAGTTCCAGACCAGTCTGGCCAACGTGGTTAAATGCCCCCTCCACTAAAAATATAAAAATTAGCCAGCTGTCATGATGCATGCCTGTAATCACAGCTACTCAGGAGACTGAGGCAGGAGAATCGCTTGAACCCCAGAGGCAGAGGTTGCAGTGAGCCGAGATCATACCACTGCACTCCAGCCTGGGCAACAAAGTGAGACTCCGTCAAAAAAAAAAAAAGATTAGCCAGGCATGGTGGTGCATGCCTGTAATCCCAGCTACTTGGGAGGCCAAGGCAGGAGAATCACTTGAACCTGGAGGCAGAGGTTGCAGTGAGCTGAGATCACTGCACTCCAGCCTGTGCAAAACAAAAAACAAAAACTAACAAACAGGTGTTGTCTCCAGGAAGCTTAGAGCAGCAAGCCCCAGGCCAAGAAGATGCACAGTCTTTATGGCCAGGAGTTAGGAGTTGTGTGAGATTCATTTCCCTAAGGCTACAAACTTAAGCAGAATTAGGAGTGTCTGTGAATTCTAGGCCACAGATTTCTAAGGGGATCATTAAGAGAAATAGGGCTACAGAAAGGGCATTTCTGAGTTTGTATGCAAGGCCAGGTGTCCATCCTTCAGGGTGGGCAGAGGAGACCAGAAGTCCATGGAACTTTTTTTTTTTTTTTTTAAGTCAATCCTGAAGCATGCTAGATGTCCTTGAAATCTTCAAGGCCTAAGGAACTTGGGTCGAAAGACCCTCAAATGTCTAGGTTTCCAAGACTTTCCATATAGATTCTTATTCCCAGCCTCTTGGTTTGCTGGGCCTGGAGATTTGGCTTGTGCCTTTAGAATATCTGTGTGTATTTGAAACGAGGGAGACACAGTGAGGTATAATAACCACCATACTAGTAAAAGCAGCTAGTGTTTACTGGGGACTTACTATATGCTGTGGCCTGACATAATTCATAGCAGCCATGCCAGGTAGAAATGATTCTGGGCTCTACTTTACAGATAGAGAAAATAGAGCTCAGTGAAGTGATCACACTTGCCTAGAGTCACATGGCCAGTAAGTGGTGGTGAAGGGACATATGCCACATCTCTGCCTATTCCTTTTCATCACCCATTCCTTTGGAGTCCTAGCTCTGTCTGGTTAGAACCAGCTCCTGTGCCCATTTCCAAGACTTTACCATTAGCACATCTCTCAGAACTCCTTTGTGAGATATTTGTAAATCATCACCTTGGCTGCAGGTGTGAGCTCAGTTGCCCAAGGGTGACAGCATAGTTGGCCTCAGACCTAAATCTTTGTCTCTTTTCCCAAGTATTGGTATTCTTTGTCTTTCTCCTTGTCCTGTCAGCATTATCTCCATCTTCCACCCTGTTTAGCTAGTCACAGAAGTGCTAATGAGGTTTTTTTCTTTTCCTTTTTTTTTTTTTTTTTGAGATAGAGTCTCACTTTGCCCCCAGGCTGAAGTGCAGTGGTGCAATCTCGGCTCACTGCAGACTCCACCTCCCAAGTTCAAGCAATTCTCCTGCCTCAGCCTCCCAAGTAGCTGGGATTACAGGCATCCACCACCATGCCTGGCTAATTTTTGTATTTTTAGTAGAGACAGGCTTTCACCGTGTCAGCCAGGCTGGTCTCCAACTCCTGACCTCTGGTGATCCACCCACCTCAGCCTCCCAAAGTGCTGGGATTACAGGCGTGAGCCACCGCGCCCGGTACTAATAAGGTCTTTGAGGGGGAGAGTCAGACTTATAACAATTCCTACCCAAGCCTTCCTTGATGTGGCCAGCCTGGGGCCATGTTCTTAGGGACCTGCCTTGTGGGTTGAAAAGGGAAACCTGGCTTATCTCCACAGGTCCTCACACAGTGGGATAGAAAGGAGAGGTCAAGATGACCATGGCATGGAACAGCCAGGGGATGCTTCCTGGAGGAAGGCAGTAAGTTAGGCCATCTACAAAAGAGAATTTGTATAGGAGGAAGGAGGTTGTTGTGGGCCAAATCCTTGAATCTCAGCCAAGGTGTGGAACTTGGATAAATACATACTGTGGAGAGAACCCCAGGAAGATGGGGAGGTATCCTGAGCTGAGTCTTTATCTGGAGGAATGGGAGATGGATGGTGCCCTGGAAATGAAGGTGATGTTAGGCTAGGAGTTCTTGGACTTGAGTCTGTTGGTGCTTGCTGGTTGCCATTATAAACTCCTGGTCAGGAACATGAGATCCTGTTGTGATTTAGGAAAATAAATGCATCTGGATGTATGGGATCTACTGGAAGGGGAAAATCTAGAAGCAGAGAGACCAGTTAAAAAACAATAGCAAGCATTTATTATGTTGCCAAACCACTTTCCGTTCTTTGCTAGCTCATTGAATCTCAAAGCAACACTGTGAATTGGGTACTGTAATTATCTCCAAAATTTCACAGATAATTTGATGCCCAGTGAGGTTCAAGGTAACCTACCAAGATCCAACTAGTAAGCTGGGGTGTCTAGACCATCTGATTCCAGAGCCCAAGCTTTTAACTACCATATAGCACTGCCTTCTCCATTCAGAAAGGAGGAGACTGCTTTTTGACAGGGAAAATGGCATAGAGACCATGAAGAATGGAGAAGGGGTCATGGAGATAAATCATGAGAGCAGGCCTGGGGGCAGGAGGAGTTCAGATTCCAGAGTAACAAGTTTGGCTGATTGGGAGGCACTGCAGGTTTTTGAGAACAGGAGTGATAGAACGAAGAAAAATTACACCAGGTATGGTGGGCGCGTGACTGTAGTACCAGCTACTTGGAAGGCTGAGGCAAGAGGATTGCCTGAGTCCGGGAGTTCTGGGCTATAGTGTGCTATGCTGATTGGGTGTCTGCACTAAGTGTGGCCCCAATATGGTGACCTCCTAGGAGCAGGGGACCAGCAGGTTGCCTAAGGAGGGGTGAACTGGCCCAGTTCAGAAATGGAGCAGGTCAAAAGTCCTGTGCTGATCAATAGTGGGGCTGCACTTGTGAATAGCCACTGCACCGCAGCCTGGGCAACATAGCGAGACCCCATCTCTTAAAAAAAACAATAAGACAAAAATTACACCAGAGGCAGGGTCAGTGTGTTTGATCTCACCTATATGAGGGATAAGGTTGGGAGTTATGAAAAGAAGATTGTTATGAAAAGGAGATTGGAGCTGAGGGAGTAGGCGATAGGCAGTGCTCTCAGGTGAACAGGAGTACCCCACCCTGGCTCTCCTGACATTTCTTCTTATCCCTTCTGTAGCCATCGTCAGCCAGTGGCAGCAGGAGTCCAAAGAGAAGGTGGTGTCCCTCCTGCTGTCCCACCTTCCCCTGCTTCAGCCAGGCAACACAGAGGCCAAGTCGGAGTACATGAGGCTACTGCAAAAAGTGCTGGCCTACTCAATCGAGAGCAATGCCTTCATCGAGGAGAGCCGCCAGCTGCTTTCCTATGCCCTCATCCACCCAGCCACCACACTGGAGGACCGCAACGCACTGGCCCTCTGGCTGAGCCACCTGGAAGAGCGGTTGGCTAGTGGCTTCCGCTCCCGGCCAGAGCCCTCCTACCATTCACGCCAAGGCTCAGATGAGTGGGGAAGCCCTGCAGAGCTGGGCCCTGGGGAGGCAGGGCCAGGCTGGCAGGACAAGCCACCCCGGGAAAATGGACACGTGCCCTTCCACCCGTCCAGCTCAGTGCCGCCAGCCATCAACAGTATTGGGAGCAATGCAAACACAGGTAAGTAGTCTTTACTAGGAGCTATTTTAAGAACATTATAGGCCGGGCGTGGTGGCTCAAGCCTGTAATCCCAGCACTTTGGGAGGCCGAGACGGGCAGATCACTAGGTCAGGAGATCGAGACCATCCTGGTTAACACGGTGAAACCCCGTCTCTACTAAAAAATACAAAAAACTAGCCGGGCGAGGTGGCGGGCGCCTGTAGTCCCAGCTACTCAGGAGGCTGAGACAGGAGAATGGCCCGAACCCGGGAGGCGGAGCTTGCAGTGAGCTGAGATCCTGCCACTGCACTCCAGCCTGGGCAACAGAGCGAGACTCCGTCTCAAAAAAAAAAAAAGGAACATTATACATATAAACTCAAGATTCAAAGCGAGGCAGTCTGGCTGTAGAGCTCATACTCTGAACTACTATGCTACACTACCTCCACCAAAAAGTATCCCTCCTGGAGATGCTCAGCCCTCACGAAGGGGAGGGGCCACCCATGCAGGGTGCCTATAAATTTCTCTCTCTTCATACCTTCTGTGCTCCCCATCGTGGGGACCTCAGCAGCCATTAAAGGACCAAGATTGAACAGTGTTGATAGAGGTTTGGACCAAAAGAGGAAAAGGAATTGGGCATTCCAAGTAGAAGGCACAGCATGAAATAAGCACAGGGGTGGAACATTAGAGAGGACAGTATACAGACGGATCTGACTGGGACGGATTTGAATGAGTAATAAGAGTAGCAGAGACTTGTGCTTACTGTGTGCCTATCCCTCTGCTAAGGACTTCATGCGGAAAGGGAGGCAGAGAGGCAAAAGAAGTGACTTGCCCAAGATCACACAGAGGCGACAGAGTCAGCATCAGGATTTGAACTCAGGCCTGTCTTTACCCTCAGACCTCAGTGTGTGAAGGCCACATTCTGGGGGGCATTGAAGGACAGGAGAAGCTTTTGGATTCCAGGCAGTTGCAGGAAACAGGAAATCATTAAAATATTTTTGAGTGGGGAGCAAGGATTGGCCTTTGAGGGCAGGCAGCTTGGGTTTGGGGTGCTGCCAAAAACAGATCAGGATTTCTTGGAGAGTGCAAGGCCTTGGAACTCCGGCTGGCATTCTTGTTTTTGTCATTCTCATGCTGTGGCCAGCCTCCACCCCAGTGCAGAGCCAAGCAGGGCTCCTCAGGAACTGCACGATCATTCCAGTCAGGGTAATTTCCTGCCTCTCAGCCTCGCCTGCCCACTTCTTGGCTGAGAAGGGAGAAAGAAGGAGGCCAGAGACACCAAAACAGGCAAAAAGGCCTGTCTTGAGGATTCCCCAGTCCCCAGAGTGTGCCATGTTCCCCAGGAGTGCTGAGTGGGGACAGAAGCCAGGGCTGAGGGAGTCTAGAGGCTGAAGAACTCCTGTAAAGAGGGCCCCGATACTCTGGGGTAGGGCAGAAACTTATTAGGGGTGGGCCACTGCCTTGCCCTGTCCCTCAGGTGACTTCCTAGCCAGGAGCATCAGTGTTGTCACAGCTGAGGGAAGATGCTCTGGGGCCTGCAGCAGGCTAGACCTCCTTCCTGTGCTGGGTGTCACTGTAGCACTGGCAGGAACCCCAGCCTTTCCATCAGAAACAAGGCTTGGGCTCTGTCTCAGCCTGTCAACTCCCGTGGGAACTGGGGCAAAGGGCTTCAGCTCCCTGGGCCTTGGTGTCCTCACCTACCCAGGGTGAGGCTCGTTGGCTTTGTTTTATTTCTTTTGGCTAGGCTGACTTGGGGTACTTCTGGATGTCATAGGTGGAGCTCACAGGCCCTCTTAGCACCCTTTTGTCCTTTATCAAATCATCAAACTTCGTTGGAAGGACTTCTGTTTGTCATGCTCTGTGCCTGATCATGGGATTGCAGAAGTAATTGGGCTGGGCTGCCATTCTCCATGGACCCACAGTCCAGTGCAAGAGGGAGGCTAGCGAGAAGGGCAGCAAGCGCCAGGCGTGAGGCAGCAGCAGAGGGGTACGTGACCAAGGCATGAAGGGAGAAGTGACTGATGGAGAAGAGTTGGAGAGGTGAGCAAGGCAGAGGGAAAAGCACAGATAAAGGTCTGGGAGCTCATGGGAACCTGCCCTGTCTTGGGAGTGGTTAAAAATCATGTTGGAGGCCGGGAGTGGTGGCTCACACATGTAATCTCAGCACTGGGAGGCCGAGGTGGGTGGATCACCTGAGGTCGGGAGTTCAAGACCAGCCTAAGTAACATGGAGAAACCCCGTCTCTACTAAAAAAATACAAAATTAGGCCGGGCGCGGTGGCTCAAGCCTGTAATCCCAGCACTTTGGGAGGCCGAGACGGGTGGATCACGAGGTCAGGAGATCGAGACCATCCTGGCTAACACAGTGAAACCCCGTCTCTACTTTTGTCTCTACTTTTTCTTTTTACTTTGTAAAAAATACAAAAAAAAAAACTAGCCGGGCGAGGTGGCAGGCGCCTGTAGTCCCAGCTACTCGGGAGGCTGAGGCAGGAGAATGGCCTGAACCCGGGAGGCGGAGCTTGCAGTGAGCTGAGATCCGGCCACTGCACTCCAGCAAGGGGGACAGAGTGAGACTCCGTCTCAAAAAAAAAAAAAAAAAAAAAATACAAAATTAGCCAGGCGTGGTGGTGGGTGCCTGTAATCCCAGCTACTTGGGAGGCTGAGGCAGGAGAATCGCTTGAATCCGGGAGGCAGAGGTTGCAGTGAGTCGAGATCACGCCACTGCACTCCAGCCTGGCGACAGAGCGAGACTCTATCTCAAAAAAATTAAAAATATATATATATACACACACACACACACACACATATGTATGTACATATACACACACGCACATATATAAAAACACACACACACACACACATATATAAGCCAAGCGTGGTGGTGGGCACCTGTAGTCCCAGCTACTCGGGAGGCTGAGGCAGGGAGAATTGCTTGAACCTGGGAGGCAGAGGTTGCAGTGGGCCAAGATCACACTGTTGTACTCCAGCCTGGGCGACAGAGCAAAACTCCATCTCAAAAAAAAAGATCAAGTTGGATTCCTTTGCCAACCTCAGACTTGGGATGCACAGAGGGTGTGGAGCATCCTGCAGAAGAGGACCTGGGATCACTCTGAGTCTCCAGGCCTCATGAGGGGCCAGTTTGGGCTCACTGCAGAAAAAAAAAATGGGAGGTAGTGAGGCCCCATAACAGGGTTGTTGAGGAAGCAGCTTACGTACTTCCTTCGTTACAAGATATAATGATGTTTAAGATGGGACAGGTTCCTGCTGTCATAGGTCTTCTATTCTAGCAGGGGGTACAGTTAATAAGGAAACAAACCAGCTCACGCCTGTAATCCTAGCACTTTGGGAGGCCGAGGTGGGCGGATCACGAGGTCAGGAGATGGAGACCGTCCTGGCCAACATGGTGAAACCCTGCCTCTATTAAAATACAAAAAAATTAGCTGAGCATGGTGGCAGGCATCTGTAGTCCCAGCTACTCGGGAGGCTAAGGCAGGGGAATTGCTTGAACCCGGGAGGCGGAGGTTGCAGTGAGCGAAGATCGCACCACTGCGCTCCAGCCTAGTGACAAGAGCGAGACTCCATCTCAAAAAAGTAAATAAATAAATTTTGTAGAAAGTAAACAAATAACTTGATAATTTCAGGTTGTGATAGGTGCTGTGAGAAAGACAAGACAGTAATGTGATAGAGTGACTGGAATTGGGGCAGCAGAGGTGGGCAGTGACTTCAGATTAAGGGTTTAGGGTAGGCTTCAGAGGAGGTGAGACTTGAGGGAGCCACCCGCTAAGATCAAGAAAGTAAGAAGAAAGAGCGAGTCTAGAAGTCCTGAGGCTGGAACAGCCTTGAGTGTTTCAGGAACAAAGGGGAGTTTGGGAGGAGTTGAAGGCTAGAGAGGCATGAACCAGGTGGTGGGTTGTAGGAGGGGAGAGTTAGAGAGGAGCAGGGACCAGGTCCTGCATGGCCTTTTAGGCATGTGAAAGCATTTGTATTTTGTTCCCCCTATGAAAGGAAGTCACAGGGAGTTGAGCAGGAGTCAAGCTCGGTCACATTTGCATTTTTAGAAGGATCTTTGTGGCTGCTGTGAGGGGCGTGGACTATAGGAGGCAAGAATGAAGGCAGGAAACCAGTAAGGAGGCTATGGCAGTAATTCCTGCCAGGGGCACTGGTGGCTTGAGCCAGTGGAACTGGAGAATTTCAGGAAACTGGCTAACAGCTTGCTGATGGGTTGGGTGTTGGAGGTAAGAGAATGAGGTATATCTGGTAGGTAGCTCCCCTTGGACCCCAGGTCCCTTCCTCTTGGCAGATTACGGGGCCAAACTGCCATCCTGGCACTGACGGCAGGGGGATGGTCTCCTGTGGTTGGGTCCCCAGCCTAATGTTTTGCTTTTCTCCCACTCTGGCCAGGTCTCCCCTGCCAAATCCACCCTAGCCCGCTGAAGCGCTCCATGTCACTCATCCCTACAAGCCCCCAGGTCCCTGGTGAGTGGCCGAGTCCAGAGGAGCTTGGGGCCCGGGCTGCTTTTACCACGCCCGATCACGCACCCCTCTCGCCCCAGAGCAGCGTGGCCTCCTCTGGCAGTGAGCAGACAGAGGAGCAGGGCTCCAGCCGGAACACTTTCCAGGAGGATGGCAGTGGCATGAAAGGTACACCGGGGACAGCAGCACCAAGACCCTTTTCCAGGGGCTTCTGCAGAGCTTAGAGGACAGAAAGGAGCTGTAGCTGATGCCTGCCTACCCCTCTGAGGAGGGGACATGTCTGAAGGGAGTAGATAGTCCCTGCTTTTAGGGCTCAAGACTAAGCAGAGGCCGGGCGCGGTGGCTCAAGCCTGTAATCCCAGCACTTTGGGAGGCCGAGACGGGCGGATCACAAGGTCAGGAGATCGAGACCATCCTGGCTAACATGGTGAAACCCCGTCTCTACTACCCGTCTCTACTAAAAAATACAAAAACTAGCCGGGCGAGGTGGCAGGCGCCTGTAGTCCCAGCTACTCGGGAGGCTGAGGCAGGAGAATGGCGTAAACCCGGGAGGCGGAGCTTGCAATGAGCTGAGATCTGGCCACTGCACTCTAGCCTGGGCGACCGAGCTAGACTCCGTCTCAAAAAAAAAAAAAAAAAAAAAAAAAACTAAGCAGAGAGACCCCACATCTACCCTAAGTTCTGCTCTGACTGGGGAGGAGCCCCGTCTTCACACACCCCAGTCTGACAAGGAAGTCAGGACACAGCTAACTGATGGAACAGAGGTTCCAGGAAGAGTTTTGGAGCAATCAGTGAGGTCATCGTGGTATACATCCAGCCGAGCAGCTCAGAACGGTCAGATGTCCTTCCTAGGGAAGGCTGCCTGAGAGGGTCTGGCTAGGCAGATGAAGAAGGAGCTGATGGAATCTTAGCTCCCCGCAACCCCCTCCCAATTTTTTCCATCTTTTGAGGCTTCCTTTGGGTTTAGCCCCACAACTTTTCCTTTACCCTACTCATCAGGGCCAAACTCCTGACCTTTCACTCTCCCTCCTTTTCCAAAGATGTGCCCTCATGGCTCAAGAGCCTCCGCTTGCACAAGTATGCAGCCCTCTTCTCACAGATGAGCTACGAGGAGATGATGACACTGACTGAGCAGCACCTGGAGTCTCAGGTGAAGCCAAGGGGACCATCAGGGAGGTGTTGGGGGCAGCACTATTTTGCATTCCTTGCAGCCCAAGCTTCCTCTGTCTCCTTGATCTCTATTTGGGTACCTGCAAGTATCTCAGCCTCCCATCTCTAGCTTCCTGTCCCCTTCTGCCCTTGTCACAGAATGTCACCAAAGGTGCCCGCCACAAGATAGCCCTGAGTATCCAGAAGCTGCGTGAGAGACAGAGCGTCCTCAAGTCCCTAGAGAAGGTGAGAACTTGGTATCTGCATCTTCAAGGCCAGCCAGCCACTTGGCGGTACCAGTAGACCACAGGCCCTGAGTTGGCATCCCGACTCCTCGGGTCTGGCCTCTAATAGCCCCAGCCCTAGGGACCCAGACTCCAGGGACCACGTGCAAGCTGGCATCAAAAGGCTCACTTGCTGGTAGCTAAGAGGCTCCCCTCCCTGTCTGTCTTGGTGGTTCTAGAATCTGTCTTTTGACTCTACACCTTCTCTCCACTTTTGCTTTTCCATTTCTTGCTGGTCTTTCTGGTAGAGCAGAGTGTCTCTGTCTGTACAATCTCTCTTTCCATTTGATTGTTTCTAAACTCATTTTCCTTCCACATCTGATTTGATTTGATCTGATTGATTTGGGTTCCTCATTCCCTTTCCTTGCCACTGCCTTCTGTTTATATTTTTCCCTGCTCAGTATCTAGATCTGAATCTCTGATTCTATCCTTGGTGGGTCCCGAAGACTCCAACATTAGACTGGCTTTTCGTGAGTTTTGTAGGACTTCACCTTCATGGGAAAGAGGAAATGTTTGTGGGCTTGCAGTACCCTTACATGCCTTCTCTATGTGCTGGAACCCAGGGTCCTACCCAGTCTTCTGCAAGCCGTGTCTGACTTTCTGTGTAGATACTCTCTGTCTCTCATTGTAGGGTCTGCATGTGACCCCAGCCTATGTCCTCCCATGCAGGATGTACTGGAAGGCGGGAACCTGAGAAACGCTCTGCAGGAGCTGCAGCAGATCATCATCACTCCCATCAAGGCCTACAGTGTCCTCCAGGCCACCGTGGCTGCCGCCACCACCACCCCTACTGCCAAGGATGGGGCCCCGGGGGAGCCATCACTGCCAGGTGCTGAGCCTCCCCTAGCCCACCCCGGCACTGACAAGGGCACCGAGGCCAAGGACCCTCCAGCTGCGGAGAACTACCCACCTCCACCAGCTCCCGCTCCCACCGATGGCAGTGAGCCTGCCCCGGCTCCCGTCGCTGACGGAGACATCCCCAGCCAGTTTACACGGGTGATGGGCAAAGGTGAGACCAGCCACAGCCTAGCAGGAAATCCTGAGGCAGAAAGCCAAGTGAACTCAAGCACCAGGGATCAAATCCAAGTTAGATGTTGGGAGCAGGGCTTTATAAAGCCTGCTGGAGACTGGAACACTACAGAGAGTAGCCGAGACAGGGTGACAAGGCCCCTTGCCCTTGGGCATGTCCAGGCTAATGGTGGATAACAGCCCTTCCCCTCAAAGTGTCTCCAGGCTGAGCAGAAATGGGGCAGTGTGTCAAAAGAAATTCCATGTAGTAAAGGGTGAGCAGTTGAGGGGAGTCCATTGATTTCTCTCAGAGGGGACCGAAGTCCAGGGGATGGGGATGGTGAAATTTATCACAGCTTCAGCCTTTCCTAAAGCAGCATGACGTAGCAGACTTTACGCTTGGATCCAGATTGATCTGGATCTGAATCTGGACCTGGGGCAAGTGACTCAACTCTGAGCTTTAGGTTTCTCAGGCTAAAAATGTCTGTAGTGACAAGATTGTGTAAGGCACTATGTTGTATATCCTCATGATAACCTAAATACCATGGCTAGCACTTAATAGTTGGTACTTATCCAGCCTGAGTCTCCTGTTCCTTCTTGTGCACGAGCCAGCTGGAGGCTGGAACATGGCAGAGGGCATACTAGGGGCTAACCTGCCCTTTCTCATGTCCCCCAGTGTGCACCCAGCTGCTGGTGTCCCGACCAGACGAGGAGAACATCACCAGTTACCTCCAGCTCATCGAAAAGTGCCTGACTCATGAGGTAAGGCCTTCCGTAGCATGCTCAAAAAGGGAAAGGTGGCCAGGTGTGGTGGCTCAAGCCTGTAATCCCAGCACTTTGGGAGGCCAAGGCGGGCAGATCATGAGGTCAGGAGATCGAGACCATCCTGGCCAACACGGTGAAACCCGGTCTTTACTAAAAATACGAAAAATTAGCCAGGCGTGGTGGCGGGTGCCTGTAGTCCCAGCTACTCGGGAGGCTGAGGCAGGAGAATGGCGTGAACCCGGGAGGCGGAGCTTACCGAGATGGTGCCACCGCACTCCAGCCTGGGCAACAGAGTGAGACTCCGTCTCAAAAAAAAAAGAAAAAAGGAAAGGCTGCCCCATCATTCTCAAGACCATTGTGTTGTATGTGGCCCACAGGGCCTTGCCTGACCTGGTACATATATGCCAGCCCTTCCAGTCTTGTATCTTTCCAGTGTTGGCTTTAGAGGCTTCTTCTCAGAACCCTTGTTTTTTTTTTTTTTATTGTTGTTAATGGAGACGAGGTCTCACACTGTTGGCCTGGCTGGTTTTGAACTGACCTCAAGTGATCCTCCCACCTCAGCCTCCCAAAGTGCTGAGATTACAGGTGTGACAATTTTCTTTTTTAGAGATGGAGTATTGCTTTATTGCCTAGGCTGGTCTCGAACTCCTGGCCTCAAGTGATCCCCCTGCCCTGGCCTCCCAAAGTACTGGGATTATAGGCATGAGCAACCATGCCCAGCCCGTACATACTCTTTATCAGGAACAGTGTTCCTTCCTCCTCTAGCTATCAGTTCAAAACGTTTATACCTCAGGGACACCTTTACCAACCCCTCATTTTTATTTAGGTTTCTTTTGCTTCCTGTTCTTCTCCCTCAGGGAGGGATAATTTGTCACAGTTATCATTATGTATGTATCTTTCCCTCACAGCCAGACTGTAAGCTCTCTGGGCATGGTCACCTCTGCATCCCAGAATTGCTTGGCACAGGCACAGAGTAGATGAGCAATAAATCTTTTTTTTTTTTTTTTTGGAAACAGAGTCTCACTCTGTTGCCCAGGCTGGAGTGCAGTGGCACGATCTTGGCTCACTGCAACCTCCGCCTCCCAGGTTCAAGTGATTCTCCTGCCTCAGCCTCCCAAGTAGCTGGGATTACGGGCATGCACTACCATGCCCGGCTAATTTTTGTACTTTTAGTAGAGGTGGGGTTTCACCATGTTGTCCAGGCTGGTCTCGAACTCCTGACCTCAAGTGATCCACCCGCCTCGGCCTCCCAAAGTGCTGGGGTTACTGCATGAGCCACTATGACTGGCCAGGCAATATAAATTTGAACAAATGAAGACCGGAAGGGAGGTCTGAAAGAAACATCACCCTCTCTGCTTCACCCGTGCCCTGCCAATTCTAGGCTTTCACGGAGACGCAGAAGAAACGGCTGCTATCCTGGAAACAGCAAGTGCTGAAGCTCCTCCGGACATTCCCACGCAAAGCCGCACTAGAGATGCAGAACTACCGGCAGCAGAAAGGGTAGGCAGGTGGCCAGGGTACAGGGTCCTGGCCTCCACAGGCCTTTGCTGGTTAGCAGATCGTGCTTAGAGGGGTGATTGTGTTCTGGGCTGGGAATCCAGTTTTATTCAGTCACTGGGTGACTTTCCCAGAAGAAAATTTCCCACTAGAATAGGATGCCGAGCTGGAAAACAACACATGCCCCATGAGCAGGCCCCTCATATGTACCTTGCTCCTCACCTGTATACGGAGGGCCTGGAAGTCCCGTCTTAGACCAGACAGATAACAGAAATGTCTCCCTTGAGAATTGAAGTTTGGAGAACTGTTTTGAGTGGACAGTGAGGAAACCCTTGTATACTTCCCATCTCCTTCCGGGGGGTACTCTTGAGACAGATGGGGACAGAATGTGTGATGGAGGTTTATGTTCTCTCCTACCACTTGGGGTTGTTGGGGAAGGTGAGGAAGAGGTAGGCAGATGGGCCCCATCTACATAAATTAACACCCTGCCTTCTGCTCTCTCACAGCTGGGCGTTCGGCTCCAACTCGCTCCCCATAGCTGGTTCTGTGGGGATGGGAGTGGCCCGGCGTACCCAGCGGCAGTTCCCAATGCCTCCCCGGGCCCTCCCACCCGGCCGGATGGGCCTCCTGAGCCCCTCGGGCATTGGAGGTGTCTCCCCTCGACATGCCCTCACCAGCCCCAGCCTTGGAGGCCAGGGCCGACAGGTAAGCTGACTGGAAGCAGGGGCCATGGCCTCCTGGGGTTGGGGTGGCAGTACCTGAGATGTGTATGTCTGTATACTCTGTGTCTGAACCCAGCTTAGAGGTGGCAGGGGTGAGAGTGGGAGAAGGCCTGTACCACCTCCACCACTCTTGGGTCTGGGCCTCTTCCCCACTCACTACTTTCTCTCTTCCTGGGAACTGTGTAGAACCTGTGGTTTGCCAACCCTGGAGGCAGCAACAGCATGCCCAGTCAGAGCCGCAGCTCTGTGCAGCGCACTCACTCGCTCCCGGTCCACTCGTCACCCCAGGCCATTCTCATGTTCCCTCCAGGTGAGGTGCCCCACCCTTGGGACTCTGCCTGGCCAACACCCTGAGCTGACCTCTCTCTTCTCTCCTGGGTCTCCTGTCCACTGTTCTTTCCAGACTACTTGGGCACCTCTCCCCATACCTTGCAACACTCTACGCCCATCTCGCCCAATTGTGGGGGATTGTTTTCCTCCTCTGCTTCAATTTTATCTCTCAGGTTTAGCCCCTACCCCTCTGAATCATCATCTCTCACCCCTTACTCCCACCCCATCTCATGTTCCCCCCGCTCCATGTCATAATCTTAGTGTCTGTGTTGGTCTCTGTCATCATCTCTTTCTTTACAAGATCATTGAATACTCAATTTAGAAGGGGTTGAGGAGATGGGACAGTTAAAGTATGAGATTTCTGTGGAAGGGAGTCCTACCCATCAGCCTACCGGCATTCTTTCACATGCCAGGTGACCACACAGGAACCAGTGGACTTCACCTCTTAGAACAGGTGTTTGAAGTGAGAGGGCTGTTTGACCTCTGCTTACAGACCATCCTGGAGATGGGAGAGCAGAAGTTGGGCCAAGTGCAGGCACAGTAACTCACACCTGTAATTTCAGCACTTTTGGGAAGCTGAGGCAAGGAGATCAGTTTCAGACCAGCCTGAACAACACGGCGAAACCCCATCTCTACAAAAAAAAATACAGAAATTATCTGGGCATGGTGGTGCACACCTGTAGTCCCAGCTACCCGGGAGGCTGAGGCAGGAGGATCATTTGAGCCCAGTAGGTCAAGGCTGTAGTGAGCAGAGATCGTGCCACTGCACTGCAGCCAGGGCAACGGTGAGACCCTATCTCAAAAAGACGTTGGGCCAAGTTGGCGAAAGGAAGATTAGAGATTTGCTAGCCACAGGTCCCTGCCCTGCTCAACAAGTGAGGGGTTGACTCCTCCACATGGTGCTGGGCACTGGGACTGCAGAGACAGATAAGGCTGGTCTGGAATGGGCTGACTAGAGAGAGCATGGATTTGCAGAATTCATGTCATAAACTGCCAAGTCAGCCAGGAGTCTCACTTGATGAGGTTGTGTGGACAGCCATCTGTTGAGGCCATGGGAACCCATTCATCATGTTCATCCTAGCAGAGGGCTTGACACACATCTGTAAATGATCTTAAACAAGCAGGTGGATGAACCGCAGGAATGAACAAGAACCATTCTCTTTACCAGTAAGCTATGTCCCAGGCTTTGTCAGACAGCTCTCCTGCACTGATTGACTCCTCCCAACTGTATGTGTAAGGACTGTGATGTTATTCATCAGTCAGCAATCTGAGACAGAAAGGTTTTGCCCAAGTTTAAAAAAAATTTTTTTTTTTTTTTTTTTAAGACAGAGTCTCGTTCTGTTGCCCAGGCTGGAGTGCAGTGGCCAGATTTCAGCTCACTGCAAGCTCCGCCTCCCGGATTTACGCCATTCTCCTGCCTCAGCCTCCCAAGTAGCTGGGACTACAGGCGCCCGCCACCACGCCCAGCTAGTTTTTTGTATTTTTTTTTTAGTAGAGACGGGGTTTCACCGTGTTAGCCAGGATGGTCTCGATCTCCTGACCTCGTGACCCACCCATCTCAGCCTCCCAAAGTGCTGGGATTACAGGCTTGAGCCACCGCGCCCAGCCAAAAAAAAAATTTTTTTTTTTTTTAGGAGAGACAGTTGGGTGATCTGATACGACATGAGCTCAGGGTTCGGAGGGAACAGTGATGAGAGAGGTGAGGGTGGGGATGGGAGCTGGGTCATCTAAACCCAGGTAAACAGCCCGGACTTTGTCCTGATGGTAGTGAGGAGTCAGGGAAGGGTTTAAGCAGTGTGGGGTGGGGTCAGGTCTGCCCAGGGAGGTGGGTGGTTTCCCAGATGCCAGAATAGGAGGCCCTTTTGAGAAGTGTGGTTTGAGGACAAGTCCCATGGTGGTTGTCCTACTTTGCCCCCACCTGCCCAGCCTGCCTGGATCGAATCCTGCCCAGATCGAATCCTGCCCAGAGGAGCAGGTCCAAGTGGGGACAGGAAGGGTTTTGATTTAGCTTTTGCACCAAGTACAGAGCAGGTCTTCAATCAGGGAGCCTTGGGGGCTGCCCAGTATCCAGGGCAGATGCCCAGACTGTGCTCAAGACAGTGTGCGGTCTGTGTCCAAAGTAGTCACAGCAGGCTGTGTGTGGCCTCCAGGAGCTCCTTCAGTTTCACTTCCACTGTCTGCAAGTCAGGCATTTTCTATATCACCAAGCCTCTGCCATTGCCATTGTCTCCTCTGCCTGTTGTGTGACATGCTCGCCTCTCTCCCTGTCAACCTCCTCCCCTTCCTCCCTCTCCCCCTCCATCTCTCTTGCTCCCTTCCCATACCAGCATCCTTTGTCATCCCAGCTTTCTTCACCCAAGTCCAGTCAGTCCTTACCACCCCCATTCTCCTCTCTCCCAACCAGACTGCCCGGTTCCTGGGCCTGACCTGGAGATCAATCCCACTCTGGAGTCTCTGTGTCTGAGCATGACAGAACACGCCTTGGGTGGTGAGCATTTCCTCTTTCCCTGACCCAGCTCCCACCTACCCAGCGTCTCTTCCTCTGAACTGAGCAACTCAGAGTCATCCTGAGGGGTCCCCAGGGGAGGCCAGACTCCAGGGAGGGCCTGACCGGGATGACAGGCTACCTGAGTGCCTTTTCTTGGGCCTCCCTCCAGCTCCTGATCTTCCTCCCTTCCTCCCTTTCTTACCACAGATGGGACAGACAAAACCTCCACCATCTGACGGGACCCACAGCCCAGCGCACCCATAGGCTCCCTGGGCGGCGGGCGGGGGCCAACCCCCAACAGGCTTCTCCGCGACAGCGAGAGGGTGGGCTGGCTCAGCTATATATTCTAATATTTTTCTACTCTCTTACCCTTTTAACTTTTGTTTAACATTGGCACATGCCTTGCTCACTCCCAGGCCCGTCGAGGGATCTCTGCTGAGGCCCGGGGAGTTGGGGGCAGCCAGGATAAAGGGGGCAGGGACTGGCCAGACTGCCTGCCTCTCTCCTTTCCTTCTTCATCCCCACCTGGTCCCATCCCACCCCTGCCTCCTCCAGACCGCTGACCACCTGCCTCTCCCCAAGGGAGCAGACTCCCCAGAGACAAACTGACCACTACCTTGTGGAGCCTGCTCAGAAACATTTGATATTGGGGTGACATGAGCAGGGCAGAGAACCTGCCCTCCAGAATGTTATTGAGAGGAGCTGGGGAGAAGGGAGGGGGAGCAAGGAGAGGAAGCCCTCTCTCCTCTCCCTCCTTCCCCTTTACCATTCCCCACATTCTCCAAGGACAGGAGCCACCTTCTTCTCTCTCACCTCCTTTGGCCCTGTTCACCAGAGGTTCTCTATGATTAATTTCTTAGGCCTATTTAAGATACATATTTATATAGTTCTTAACGGTTTTTCTCTGATCATTTCCTCTCATTTTTAGAATCCCCAGGCCTCTCTCTGAGCCAAGACAGTGGCAGGGGGAGCCTGAACTTTATGAGGGGAGAGGGCAGAGCCCCCTCCTCCAGACCCCCAAGCTCTAACCCATTTTCCTCCAGCCCTGGCTCCCCAGATGAAGAGGTTGGAGGTGGGCAGCCAGGGTGGCCAGTGAGGTCAGGAAGTCTGTTGCCTTAACGTCCCCTTCCCTATGAACACACACCCTTCTCCGCTCCCAGGTCTGGTTGGTGATACTTGGGAGTCAGGAATAAGGGAAAGGGGATTGTTTGGTTTTTGGGTTTTTCCCTAAGCCCCTCCCTTTTCTTTTAGCCTTTCCCCTTCCCCCATTATGTCATGACCTCACTTAAGTGGAACACTATATCATAACCCAGAGATTTGTCCCAGTCCCAGAGTCTGACAGACTGTCTGGTCCCTATTCCTAATGAGGGGTTGTGTTGGGGCCCAGGTGGAGGGAGGGGATTCGGGGGTTCAGACTGCGGGGAAGCCAGGGTCTCCCTCTTCAATGCCCTCCGTCCCCTCAGCCCACCCTCCCCACTGGGACATTCTCAAGCTTTTCACACCGAAAAGGAAAAAAAATGTTATTTTTAGATACATTTTATGAATAACTTTTGTTATGAATATGGCTGGTAACCATTGTGTATGTTATTAAAGATACAAAATGTTGGGAAAAAAACAAAAAACCAAAAAAAAAAATTTTAAAACCACCACCCTCCCTGCACTATCACCCCATTCCCCAGACCTTCTTGCCCCCACCCTCCTGGTCTGTGGACCTCCCTCTGCTCTGAGCCCAGGGAGGGGGAAGAAGCCAGGGGGTAAGGGTGGCCCTGGGAACCTGGCTCTGGGTCCCCACTTCCTCTCCCAGTGCCGGGCTGGGTGGGGTGTCAGGTTTATTTATGTACCTCTTGCACACTCATCAACCTATGCAAGTCCCCCACCCCGGCCCTCCATGTTTCTGTGCCTTTGCTCATCCCCTCAATCTCCCAGGGCTTCTCCAGTCCCCCTCCCACTAGCTGCAGGAAGTGGGATGGACGGGCCACCTCGTTTGGAATCAGCAGGGTGTCCCTCTCATGGGACCCTCCCCTCTCCCCAGCCTGTCCTGTCTAGTTCATTCTCCATCAGGGTGAGCTGACTGTGCCTGGCACTGGGAGATGGTGAGGGACACCGTCTCACACACACAGGGAGGCAAGAGCTGCCCCCCACCCCACCTGACAGCAGAGTGTGCAGGACGCAGGCGGCCCCACTCTGATGGGCAGGACCCTGACCCTCTCCCGCTCCAGCCCCCTCCCCAGGCCCTCCATGATTTCGCCCTCCCCACCCACTTCTGTCCCCAGCCCCACTGGCAGAATCAGCTTTGAGTAACTGTACAGTTTTTCTCGCTGTTGGAGAAGACTTATTTGTTGGAGTTTCACTTGTTTAATGGTCTGGGCTTATTTTGGAAAAAAAAAAAAAAAAAAATTCTGACCTTCGTTGTGCTACATTTTGTGGGAAGCCATTGGCCCTGCCTCTGGCCTGTGTTTCTAAGCCTCAAGCCAAGATCCTTGAGCACCTCGGGGTGGGGGGAGGTGTGTGCTGGGCTGAATGACATCATAGGGGCTGGGAGGGGAAGTAAAGAGAAGTTGACTTTATTAACAGCAAAGGTTTGGGGGTGGGGAACAAACAAGTGAAAGGCTCACAAACAGACCACTAGAAAAGTGCCATCCTGCTCATAATAATGGTGTCTGAACCAGCCCTGAATGCCCTGGGACTCAGTCACTGTCACTATCAGCTTCACTGGAATCAGAAGCTGCAGCTTCACTGCCATCCTCCTGGGCCGAGTGCTCGCTGCCACTGGGGAAGGGACTGGCGCTGCGGCTTCGGCTGTGGCTCCGCTGGCCACCCCCATTGCTGCCGCTGTCCGAATCATTGTCACTGCCACCTTGGGCTGGTCCTCTGTCCTCATCATCAGAGTCAGCATCATCCTCTGAATCAGCATCACTGCCAAAGATCTCCTCTTTGTCACGGGCAGCCCGGGCCTCATCCTCGCTGCTCTCGTCCTCACCACTGCCACTCTTGTCACTGGCCTCGTCCCTGTCAACTTCCTCCCGTTCACTCTCGCTGCCCGAACGCTCATCTTCACTGCCCTCCTTCTCACTGCTGCTGCCTTTCTCCTGCTCCTCATCTGGAAGGGAGTGGAGAGAGGTGAGACCCACTTTTCCACCTTCACAGGGCTCCCAGAGTCTGGCCTGTCCAGATTTACCTGAGCCCCCAGCTTCTTTCTCTTCTGTCTCCATCTCCTCTTCCTCTTCCTCCTCTGGTTCGTGGTTTTCTAGCTGGGCCTTCCGTGCCTCCTGGAAGCAGCAAGATTGGAATGAGGGGAAGGAGGGTGTTCTGTTGGGTTTTTGTCCCCCTCCTCACCTGCAACCACCACCCTCCCTGCCGTGGGTACTCTGGGCCAGTGGTGCTTGTTACCTGAGCTTCCAGTTCCTTCTCATTCATGTCCCGATGTTTGACCACAAGCAGGGCGTTGGTGCCTGACTGAACCCCAGCCTTGGCCCGGCGCTTACTAAGGCGGACCCTGCAGGGGGTAAATTTGGGGGAGAGAAGTAGAAGATGCAGTTAAAGATACACCTCCCACTCCCCCGCCCCCCAGTGAGGGGTCTGGTCTGACTTGGTTCCCCATCAATACTTAGAGTAAATGGGAATAAATACAGATTGAATAAGGGCAACTAAGCTCAAGGTATTGAGGGCAGGGGAAAGGAAGGATGGCTCCCATGGCACCAATTTGGTTGCCCTACACTGTGTGCGTTATATGGTGTATTTACATAAATATGAGCATGGGCCACTTAACAGGGACACATTCTGAGAAATACATCATGTGAACATCATACAGTGCACTTACACAAATGTACACAGTATAGCCTACTACATACCTAGGCTGTAATGGTGTAGCTTATTGCTCCTAGGCTACAAAGCTGTACAGCATGGGACTGTACTGAATACTGCAGGCAATTGTAACACAATAGTAAGTATTTGTATATCTAAACATAGAAAAAGTACAGTCAAGACACGGTATTCTATCTTAAGGGACCATGATAAGCAGTCCATTGTTGACTGAAATACATGCAGTGCATTACTGTATACGTGAATTAATTACCAACACTTTGAGAAACCAGGAGAATCATCTGAATTTGGGGCTTTTGGAAGACAGGAATTTTTGGCTCCACAGCATAGCAACAGTGGGCTGAAGTGACATCGTGCCCTCCATGGTTGCCCAGAACTCCAGGTCACTCAGATGCTACCACACCACTGCTCTTTTACATTTCCTGCCTGGCCTATGGGGTCAGTTCTTGTAATCTCTGCTTTAAACAGAAACTTAAGACTTCCCAACTCTACACCAGAGGTGCTGGCATAGCAGTAAACTTTCAGCCATCAGGGAAGAGTTTTGGGGTCACATTTTTGAATGTGGGTATTAAGCATTTCATTTAAAACATTCATGCTGGCCGAGTGCGGTGGCTCACGCCTGTAATTCCAACACTTTGGGAGGCCGAGGTGGGTGGATCACAAGGTCAGGAGTTCAAGACCAGCCTGGCCAAGATGATGAAACCCCGTCTCTACTAAAAATACAAAAATTAGCCGGGTGCAGTGGCTCATGCCTGTAATCCCAGCACTTTGGGAGGCTGAGGCAGGTGGATCACCTGAGGTCTGAAGTTTGAGACCAGCCTGACCAACATGGAGAAACCCCGTCTCTACTAAAAATACAGAATTAGCCGGGTGTGGTGGCGATGCCTGTAATCCCATCTACTCCAGAGGCTGAGGCAGGAGAATGGTTTGAACCTAGGAGGCAGAGGTTGCTGTGAGCAGAGATCGCGCCATTGCACTCTGGGCAACAAAAGCGAAACTCCGTCTGAAAAAAAAAAAACAAAGCCGGGCGTGATGGCGGGCGCCTGTAGTCCCAGCTACTCGGGAGGCTGAGGCAGGAGAATGGCGTGAACCCGGGGGGCAGAGCTTGCAGTGAGCAGAGATCGCGCCACTGCCCTCCAGCCTGGGTAACAGAGCGAGACTCCATCTCAAAAAAAAAAAAAAGCCGGGTGTGGTGGCAGGCACCTGTAATCCTAGCTACTCAGGTACTTAGGAGACTGAGGCAGGGGAATCTCTTGAACACGAGGCAGAGGTTGCAGTGAGCCAAGATGGCACCACTGCACTGTAGCCTAGGCGACAGAGCAAGACTCTGTCTCAAAAAAAAAAAAAAAAAATCATGCTAATTTTATATATTACTCCATACTTTGGCAATGTTTACTTTCACATGAAGTGTGTTACTAATACTGGGAAACTTGGCTCTCTACCCTGCACAAAAGCTCTAAATGTCTTCTGCATTAAGATTTTCTTTCTGGCTGGGTGCGGTAGCTCACACCTGTAATCCCAGCACTTTAGGAGGCCGAGGCAGGCAGATCACCTGAGGTCAGGAGTTCAAGATCTGCCTGGCCAACATGGTGAAACTCCATCTCTACTAAAAATGCAAAAAAAAAATTAGCTGGCCATCCTGGCACACGCTTGTGATCCCAGCTACTCAGGAGGCTGAGGCAGGAGAATCACTTGAACCCAGGAGGCGGAGGTTGCAGTGAGCTGAGATCACACCACTGCACTCTGGCCTGGGCAACAGAGTGACACTCCATCACAAAAAAAAAAAAAAAGATTTTCTTTTCTGGCTTCTCCTATTAGAACCAAGTCCAGCTCATGTGCATGATCAAACATCTGCTGTTCTTGTTTACCAATGCGTATGACAAATTATTAGGTACAAAGGACCTCCAGCGTGGCTCTTGCATGCCCCAGGGTCTTAAGAAGCACAGATCCAGGCTAATCATCTGATTAGTGTGCTGAGTACCTGGTTTCCAACTCATTGTAGTAAACCCCGTCACCTTCTCGGAAGATGAAGAAGTAGTTTTCCTCATAGCCCTTGCTAGCTTTGTTCTTCACGTTCCAGTTGTACTCCCGAGCAATTTTGTAGTCATACCTGAGGATGAGGGCACAGGTTCAGTCGCATTTCCTCCCTATCCCTATCGCAATCCCAATCTCCAAAACTTCCCATTCCCCAAAACTTAACCCCAACCCACGCACACATCATCTGGTGCATAGTCCATCTCCTCCTCCTGGTCCCGCTTTCGTTTCTTCAACGTCTCTTCTACAGGCAGGAAATAGGCCACAAACTGGTTCCCTTCCTCATCCATCATGCCCCTGGTTGGGGGAAAAGGAGTGGCAATGAAGTGTGAGGCCAAAAGGCAGCAAGGAGCAGGCCAAGGTGGGCAGCAGGACCAACTACCTAATCATGGCCTGAGACATCATCTCCAACGCAGCTGCGCCACTTGTGTCCTTGGGGGCTGGGTCTGAGTCAAAGATCACCTGAGCACATGGATTGATCCACATCTAGGGAGATGGAGGCACTGGGGTTAGATGGGAATAGGCACAAATAGGCTGTCCCTTTCTACCTCCCACCTTGGGCCTGACCTTAAAGTCTGGGAAGACAGGCATGACCTCCACCGGTGTGACTCGGGGTTTGCTGTAGTGCTGGGAGATCTGGTGGGACAAAAACAGGGTGAAGAGCAGCTCTGCAGCCATACCCTTACCTCTCCCCATCCCAGTCCCTCAATTACTGATTTCTGGGCATCCTCAAAAGTCTTCTCAATGGCTGTGATCTGGCTATCCCTGTCTTTGTATATTTCTTCCTCGGTAAACTGCTGCTTCACAGAAACCCCAATCCTAGGAATGAAGAAAAAGGCCTTTAGGGGCCACTGGACACACCTGGCATCTCCACCTTCCCTCTCTCCCTGTTTGCAACTTACTTGACCTCAGGCTTCTCATTGGAGATGCCGTAACGGTTAAACTCAGTGGAGATGTACTCTGTCTTTCGCATCCATGGCACCACCTTCGCGTGCTGCTGGGATCTGGGGTAGGAAATCAGGTGCCTCAGAACCCCACCGCCCTCCTGCTTGTAGGGCCCACCGGAGCCAGTCCCCAGCACCCATTTGCTACCTGCTCACCTCTTGGAGCTGGTGGGGGCCTGAATCTCCTCTTCCAAAAGTTTCTCATCAGCTGGATCTAGAAGAACTAGAGAGCGGGGCGGGGGGAGGGGGGAAGGAGGACCATGAAGGAGGCCCAGGTCCTTTGCTGCCCTAGAGCAGACCCTCCCTGTCTCCCCACACACCATTGGGGTCGATGCGGTAGGTGTCAGGATTGATGAGATCGATGGTGACCCCCAGGTCTGGCTCAGTCAGGAGGTCATGTTTGTGCTGTTTCTCCAACGAAGTGGCTTTGTACTGGACGAACCTGGGTGGGGAAACACCTCTTGTGGTGTCTGGATTCCAGCTTCACCCCTCACAGCCCTGCTTCTCAGAGGCGAAGCCTCTTTGGGGAGGAACTCAGAATGAAGTGTCCCCCATGACGGAGTCTGAAAGCTGGCTCCCCAGTGGGAAGGGACTTGGACACTGCTTGCTCCATTCATTAACAAACAATTGAGCAGCTACTACTATGTGCTAGGCAGGTACTGTGCTAGGCCCTGAGCAAACAGCAGCCGACGAGACAAGCAGTCCCTGCCTTCAAATAACTCATACCTGAATAGTTTTCCCATTCTTAGTCTCACCTGTTCTGGTCGAAGGGGTAGGTGATGAACTTGGGGTCGAAGGGGATATCAGGGAGGCTATTGCAGTACTTGACTCGGCAGACCACTCCAGACCTAGGAACGTTAGTGGCTCAAAAGTGGGTCCCCGCTGCCCCACCTCTGCTCCCAGCCCCACTGCCCCACCGCTCCTGGGAAAGCACAGTGAGGCTCACCTCTCAGGCAGAGTCCGGTGGGAATTGGGCCTAGTGGAGAAGAAAGACAGTGATAGGTGGAGAGGACGGGATTGACAGGAGAATGAAAAAGGCTTCCCCAACCTTTCAAAAAGTAGAAGGAGGGATGACAAATGCTGGTTTCTTTTGGTGGTGGGGGGTGTCCAAATGCTTTAATGGAGGGAAACAAATGTTCAACTTATTTAGGAAGAAGAGCCCCCAAAAGCTTTAATGAACAAGGCCAAGTGCTCCATCCCTTTTGCAGGGGATGGCTTCAAGTGCTTTAATAAAGAACCATGTACTCAATCGTCTTTGGAAGAGGGGTCTCCAAACGCTTGACTGGAAGGATCCCTTCTGGAGAGTCTCCAAAAGCTTAATCCCTGAAGTGCACGGCGGGGAGGAGGGGAACACCTGAATCTCAGAAGGAACCCGCTCCCTTCGTCAAAGGTGAGCGCTCCATGACGTCACGGGCAGACCTGGGGGCTGGTGACGTTGTCCAGCAGAAACCCTATCCCGATCCCCCACCTTGCTGAAACAGAAAACCGTGGCGCCTACCTGTGGCCATCCTCCCGCTGGGCCTGGGTCTGGATGGTGGGCGCCATAGCGACGAGGCGACGGCAGCCCGGACGGGGTCCTAGCGGGGCCGAAGGGGGACGCGGAGGGGCGTGCCGACTTCAGGGGACGCCTGATCCGAGGCAGGCCCAGGTTGGCGCCGCTCCCCGCGGAAAGTGAGATGAGGTGGGCGGGCAAGAAGTGCTCCAGCGAGACTCAGGTGAACGCGCAGGCAGCACCAGGGACGGACTCGAAGCTCCTGTTCCACCAACTGCCGCCAAGACGCTGAGGACCCAACGGGGCTCCTCACGGCGCGACGCCTTCGGGGAAATGAAGTCCGGAACGGAACCACACACGGATTGGCGAGCGTCTGGGTGAAGGGCGGAGCAAGGGAGAGAGGTGCTTCTGTGATTGGTGAAAAGATCTCAGTCTGGACCTCGGATTTGAGAGTAACGTAACGTAGGAGCACCTCCTTCCCTTCCATTGGCTTAATTGCCTGCGAGGTGGGATAACTAGCAAACGGGGACTAGAAATAGGGATGTCGAACAGCAAAGCGGGGAGACGCAGTTGTGACGCACTTCCGGCGGCCTACGCGAGAAAGATGGCTGCATCCCAGCAGCAAGCTTCAGCGGCTTCCTCAGCTGCTGGTGTATCGGGTCCTAGTTCGGCTGGCGGCCCGGGTCCCCAGCAGCAGCCGCAACCGCCAGCACAACTGGTGGGCCCTGCCCAGAGCGGCCTGCTGCAGCAACAGCAACAGGACTTCGATCCTGTGCAGCGTTATAAGATGCTCATCCCGCAGCTGAAGGAGAGTCTACAGGTGATTGGCCTTAAGCAGCGAGAAGCAAACTGCATTTGGTAGTCTAACTTCAGAGGGGCGGGCCGAGGGCCAGGTTAGTCGGAGAGAGTGCTAAGCAGAAAGAGAAGTAGAACCTGCTGTTTTGGCCTGGCGCGGCGGCGCACGCCTGTGTTCCCATGCCTGTCATCCCAGCACTTTGGGAGGCTGAGGCGGGCGGATAACTTGAGGTCAGGAGTTCTAGACCAGCCTAGTGAAACCCCGTCTCTACTAAAAATACAAAAATTAGCCAGGCATGGTGGGGCGCGCCTGTAATTACAGCTACGCGGGAGGCTAACGCAGGAGAATCGTTTGAACCCAGGAGGCGGAGGTTGCAGTGAACCGAGATCGTGCCATTGCACTCCAGCCTGGGCAACACAGCGAGACTCCGTCCAAAAAAAAAAAAAAACCTGTTGTTTTATGCGAGACCTAAGCGAAGCTCGGCAGAGATGATAGAATCAGCGCTGATGTTGAGGCTGGGACTGGCCGGAGGAGTGAGGGGTTGTTTAAAGGAGAACTGAGCTCTGGTCGTTAAAGCCTGAGGAGAGGACTAGCTTATACTGAGATTCTGCCCTTGATTGATAGGTGAGGGAGGACGCTTAGATTATTGGCGAGAAGCTCAGGTGAGAGCGGACCTCTGGAACGATGGAGTGGTGACAGCTATAGGAATCGAAACAAGTATTTGGAAAGTCACGAGGGAAGGTGCCAGTTGAAAAGACCTGAGATTGAGTGATCTTAAGGAAGAGTGTTCCCTTTTGTTTTTCCATTTCCCACATGTTTTGTTTTTGTTTTGACTAGACCTTGATGAAGGTTGCAGCACAAAACTTGATTCAGAACACTAACATCGACAATGGACAGTGAGTGCAGCCCCCTTTCCCAGGATATTCCGTTGCCTCCCCAGTCTTTGAAATTCATCTTTCTTTCTCCTCCCTGCCCACCTCACCTCCTATATTTACTTTTTTTTTTTTTTTTTTTTTTTTGAGACAGGGTGTCCCTCTGTCACCCAGGCTGGAATACAGTGGCACGATCTTGGCTTATTGCAGCCTTGAACACCTGAGCTCAGGTGATCCTCTTGCCTCTGCCTCCCAAGTAGCCAGGACTGCAGACATGGCTACAGACTACAGATGCCTGGCTAAGTTGTAAGATTTTTTATAGAGACAGAGTCTTGCTATGTTGCCCAGGCTGGTCTCAAACTCCTGCCCTCTAGCGATCCCCTCAGCCTCACGAATCACTCCTCCTATTTTATTTTATTTTGTTTTTGTTGTTTTGTAGAGACAGGGTCTTGCCATGTTGCCCAGGCTGGTCTCAAACTCCTGGGTTCAAACAGTCCTTCCACCTTGGCCTCCCAGAGTGCTGGGATGACAGTCATGAACCATCACAACCACTCTTTTTCTTTTTTTTTTGGAGATAAGAGTCTTGCTCTGTCGCGCAGGCTGGAGTGCAGTGGCACAGTCTCGGCTCACTGCAACCTCTGCCTCCCGGGTTCAAATGATTCTCCTGCCTCAGCCTGCCAAGTAGCTGGGACTACAGGCATGTGCCAGCACATCTGGCTAATTTTTTGTATTTTTAGTAGAGATGGGGTTTCACCATGTTGTCCAGGCTGGTCTCGAACTGCTGACCTCAGGTGATCTGCTCAACTCGGCCTCCCAAAGTGCTGGGATTACAGGCATGAGCTACCACGCCCAGTCTCCTTTTTTTTTAAACCCCGCCAGTTTTCAACCACTACTTCAGATCCCCTGGGCCTGTACCTGGTTTCCTGTTGGACACTTGGTTGGGTAGATACTGGTGTCCCAGAGATTAGAAATCAATTCTTCAGACATCCTTTTTTTCTGGTCTGTAGAAAGAGCAGTGATGGACCCATACAGCGCTTTGACAAGTGCCTGGAGGAGTTCTACGCACTCTGTGACCAGCTGGAGCTCTGCCTGGTGAGAAGCCTTCTGGACATGGGGTAACGACAGCCCTGTCCCAGTCTCCGGGGTCTTCAGAAACCCTCAGTCAGTCAGTCAACTCACACTCAACTGGGGACCTCCTGTGGGCCAGACCTGTGCTTCCACCAACACTGAGGACCCAGGGTTGCTCTGATCCTTGCCCTCACAGAGCTTTCAGTTGAGTGGAATAATAAGCACACCCCTAAACAGTGACAGCTCAGAGTGGTCAGTGCTGTGATAGGAGAAGCTTAGGCCAGAGTGGTTAGGGTTATGATTGGGGAGGCACAGGCAGAGGGATCAGGGCTGGGATGCAGAAATCTCAGCTGTGGAAGCACTGGGTGGGGATAGGAAGAGAGTGGCTTAGGGAAGGCTGCTGCTAGAGAGCACATCTGAGCAAGTCTGAAACAAAGGAGGGAAGAGGGGCAGGAGTTGAGAGGAGGGCAAGTGACTAAGAATACAACCTTCGGAGTCAGATGCACCATCAGTCTCTACCTCTGACCTCTGGGTTCCTCCTTAGGAAAATGGAGTTTCCAGGAAAACTTAGATTATGCATGTAAACTACTTAACATGATACTAGGCATATGGCAAATGTGTACTGTGGTATCATCATTATTTTGGACTGGTTTTTTTTTGTCGGGGGGACGAGGCAGGGACAGTCTCATTCTGTCACCCAGGCTGGAGTATAGTGGCACCATTTCAGCTCACTGCAGCCTCCTCCTCCTGGTTTCAAGTGATTCTGGTGCCTCAGCCTCCCAAGTAGCTAGGACTATAGGCGCACACTACCACGTCTGGCTCATTTTTGTATTTTTAGTAGACACGGGGTTTCACCATTTTGGCCAGGCTAGTCTTGAACTCCTGGCCCCAAGTGATCCGCCCGCCTCAGTCTCCTAAAGTGCTGGGATTACAGGCATGAGCCACTGCACCCAGCCTTTTCTTTTTTTTTTTTTTATTTTTTTTTTTATTTTTTTTTTTTTTTTTTTGAGACGGAGTCTCGCTGTGTCGCCCAGCCTGGGTGCAGTGGCGCGATCTCGGCTCACTGCAGCTCCGCCTCCTGGGTTCACGCCATTCTCCTGCCTCAGCCTCCCGAGTAGCTGGGACTACAGGCGCCCCCCACGCCCGGCTGTTTTTTGTATTTTAGTAGAACGGGTTCACCATGTAGCCAGGATGGTCTCGATCTCCTGACCTCGTGATCCACCCGCCTCGGCCTCCCAAAGTGCTGGGATTACAGGCTTGAGCCACCGCGCCCGGCCTCCTTTTCTTTTTTTTTTTGAGAGAGTCTCACTCTGTCGCCAGGCTGGAGTGCAGTGGCGCAATTTCGCTCACTGCAACCTCGGCCTCCCAGGTTCAAGCGATTCTCTTGCCTCAGCCTCCTGAGTAACTGGGACTACAGGCACGCACCACCAAGCCCAGCAAATTTTTGTATTTTTAGTAGAGACGGGGTTTCACCATGTTGGCCAGGATGGTCTTGATTTCTTGACCTTGTGATCCGCCCGTCTCAGCCTCCCAAAGTGCTGGGATTACAGGTGTGAGCTACCTGCACCCAGCCTTTTTTTTTTTTTTTTTTTTTGAGTCAGAGTCTCACTCTGTCGCCCAGGCTGGACTGCAGTGGCACAGTCTCAGCTCACTGCAGCCTCTACTTCTGGGCTGAAGTGATCCTCCCACCTCAACCTTCCAAGTAGCTGGGACTACAGGCATGCGCCGCCATGCCTGGCTAATTTTTGTATTTTTTGTGGAGATGAGGTTTTGCCATGTTGACCAGGCTAGTCTTGAATGCCTGGGGTCAAGCAATTTACCCACCTCAGCCTCCGAAAGGGGGATTACAGACCACTGTGCCTGGCCTGTCCTGGGTTTTGAAGGAAAAGTGAGAGGTTGAGAAGCTTAGTAGTGTCAGAACCATGTTCCAGCCGGAGGGAATAATATTTGCTTTAAATTTGTTTTAGGAACATCAAGTAATTCAGTCTGGCTCAGGTGTGGTAGGCATAGGAGCTTGTTGGATTTTGAATATAATCCTACGGGCACTGGGGAGGCATGGAGGGTTTCAAGCAGGGAAGAACATGGACCTGTCTGCTTTTTTTTTTTTTTTTTTTTTTTTTTTTTGAGACAGAGTCTTGCTCTATCGCCCAGACTGGAGTGCAGTGGCGCGAGCTCGGCTCACTGCAAGCTCCGCCTCCTGGGTTCAGGCCATTCTCCTGCCTCAGCCTCCCGAGGAGCTGGGACCACAGGCGCCCACCACCACGCCCGGCTAATTTTTTGTATTTTTAGTGGAGACGGGGTTTCACCATGTTAACCAGGATGGTCTCGATCTCCTGACCTCGTGATCCGCCTGCCTCGGCCTCCCAAAGTGCTGGGATTACAGGCGTGAGCCACCACTCCCAGCCGGACCTGTCTGCTTTTTAGGACTATGCCTCTGGCTGGCAAATGAGGGGTGGGTTCAAGGGGCTGAGACTGGAGGCAGGAGCCCGAGGCAGGAGCCCAAGGACGCAGCCATGGCATGATCCAAGTATGCCTGGACTGGGCTTCACCAGGGCGGGGCCATGAGGAAATGGGGAAGACTGGGGAACTTGAGAGGCTTCGCGTGCAGGGCTTTGTATGCAGGCCACAGGACTGGTGTGCTGGAAGGAGCTAAAATTTCTGGGATGAGGCCCAGGGCTCTGGTTTAGAATGGAGGACTGTCCCTGAAACAGGGACCTAGGAGAAGCAGTTTTGGGGAGCATAAGGGCCCTACAAATGTCAGGGGGAGGCCGGCGACAGTGTGGGCGCCATCGGTGCAGAGGGGGAAACTGAGTGGTGTGTGTGGCTGTGACAGCCCTGGGAGGGCTTGAACAGTGAGAGAAGACGGGGCCTAGGAATGGCTGCCCTTAGGTAGTGTAAGAAGTATCTAGAGCTGGCCAGGCGCGCTGGTTCACGCCTGTAACCCCAGCACTTTGGGAGGCTGAGGCGGGCAGATCACAAGGTCAGGAGTTCGAGACCAGCCTGGCCAACATGGCGAAACCCTATCTCTACTAAAAATACAAAAATTAGCCAGGCGTGATAGCGTGCGCCTGTAATCCCAGCTACTTGAATGAGACAGGAGAATTTCTTGAACCCGGGAGGTGGAGGTTGGAATGAGCCAAGATGGCGCCACGGCACTCCAGCCTGGGTAACAGAGCAGGACTCTCTCTCCAAAAAGAAAAAGGGCCGGGCACAGTGGCTCACGCCTGTAATCCCAGTACTTTGGGAGGCTGAGGCGGGTGGATCACCTGAGGTCATGAGTTTGAGACCAGCGTGGCCAATGTGATAAAACCCCGTCTCGGCGGATCACAAGGTCAGGAGATCGAGACCATCCTAACTAACGGGCTAACACAGTGAAACCCCGTCTCTACTAAAAATACAAAAAATTAGCTGGGCGTGGTAGCGGGCACCTGTAGTCCCAGCTACTCGGGAGGCTGAGGCAGGAGAAGGGCGTGAACCCACGAGGTGGAGCTTGCAGGGACCCGAGATCGCGCCACTGCACTCCAGCCTGGGTGACAGAGCAAAGACTCCGTCTCAAAAAAAAAAAAAAAGAAACCCCGTCTCTACTAAAATACAAAAAAATTAGCCGGGCTTGGTGGCGGGCGCCTGTAATCCCAGCTACTCGGGAGGCTGAGGCAGGAGAATCACTTGAGCCCAGAGAGCAGAGGTTGCAGTGAGCTGAGATCGCGCCATTGCACTCCAGCCTGGGCGACAAGACTGAAACTCCATCTCAAAAGAAAAAAAAAAAAAAGAAAGTAGTACCTAGAGCAGCCAGAGAAGCAGGCGGCAAACCAGGGGCGGGCGCCATCTGAGATGCCACTGCCAACACCAGGCCTGGAGCTGGGGCAGTAACAATGATAGTAGCTAACATTTCTTGGCACTTTAAACGGTGTGCCAGGATCTGTGCCTGTGTTTCACACACCTGCTCTCACTGTTCTCACCTTATGAGGTAGAAGAGGTGGTTATTAAACCCGTTTTCCAAAGAGGAAACTGAGGCTCAGAAAAGAGTAGCCGCCATGCCCACACGTTCCCCAGCAAGTGATTGGCAGGGCCAACCTCTGACTCCAAGACCTGGGAAATCCAGAGGCCAAGCCAACAACCCCCAGCTAGCCCTTGGGGTGGGGTAGAATGACCTGGGGTGGAGCTGACGCTGTCCCCTTGCCTGCCTGTCCACAGCGCCTGGCGCATGAGTGCCTGTCACAGAGCTGTGACAGTGCCAAGCACTCTCCCACGCTGGTGCCCACAGCCACCAAGCCCGACGCGGTGCAGCCTGACAGCCTCCCCTACCCACAGTACCTGGCAGTCATCAAAGCCCAGATTTCCTGTGCCAAGGACATTCACACCGCCCTGCTGGACTGTGCCAACAAGGTCACGGGCAAGACACCCGCCCCACCTGCTGGCCCTGGGGGCACCCTGTGAAGTAGGGGGGCAGGGAGTGGGGCAGGCAGTGGTTGGAGGGTGGTGTACAAAGGGAATGAAAAGCGTCCTGGGCCTAAACACAGAAGCCTCCTGTCTTTTCCTGCCTGAGCACCGCGGCGGGAGCCAGCAGGGGGCAGCAGAGGCCAACAGGGAGCTCGCTGGCCGGTCCCTGCCTCCCTGCCCCTTCTTCCTGCTCCCCCTCCTAGCCTAGGGTAGACTTTGGACTGTGTGTGTTGATGACCTCTCTGTTCCACAGGCCCTCCCTCAACCTGGCCTGGGTGTGGAACCCTGGCTGTCCCCTCTCCCTCAGTCCTTCCTGACTGTCTCCAGCTGGGAGGTGGTCTCTGTGTGCCACTCTTCTGTCTCTATTACAGTTGTCTCTCTCTCATCCTGTCTCTTTTTGTCCTTGTTTATGTGTTCCTCTTAATATGTTTCTCCCCATAGTCCTATGTCTCTCTCTGACTAGTCCCCTTTAGCTGTCTTCTATCCCCAGCTCCTAACTGGGAATCTGTGTCTATGTAGGGAACCAGCACCCCGGGGGACGTCATTTCCAGGGGCCACAGCCAAGCCCAGAGTCCCCCAGCAGCTCACATGTCAGCGCAGACCCCAGGGTCTTGGCCTAGGAGAGGAGCAGTAGAGGGGCCCAGGCTCTGAGCTCCACAGGTCTGAGCAGGGAGCAACTCAGGCCCCCACCCAAGCCTGCGTCAGCGGAACTTGAGTGAGGGGCGTTGTGCAATCTGTGGCAAGGCTGGCCCAGCTGGATGCCTGGGTCCCAGTATTTTTAGCCCCAAAGGAGAAGTGAAAAGGCCCCAGCCACGGTGAGTCATCAGTCCTGGGGAAGAACCCAGGCGCCTGAGCCCCAGCTCCGGGAAGCAGGCACTGGGGAGGGGGCTTCAAGGAGGGAGTGCCCCCTCAGACTCCCTCCTTCCCTGGGAGCTTCAGGAAGTTCAGCCTTGGCCTTCAGGCCTGAGCAAGTGCAGGGCGGAGCTACCAGCCCAGGCTCAGATGTTGGGGTATGAAAGCCTCAAGTGACTCAGCCTGGTTGGAGAACTGCCCCACCCAGTATCTTCTGTGCCATGGTTCCCACATTCCCACTCAGTGGCCTCCTATCCTGGACCCCATGCCTGCAAGGAAACCCCAGGATCACGGATACCTCTGTGATTCATGCTGAGCCCAAGTCCCCACACTGGAAAACTGGGAAATGGCCAGCCATGTGTGTCCCAGGAAATTCCTCCCCTTGTTCTTCCTTGAAGTGCCCAAGCATGTAGGTCAGGAAGGAAGGCTGAAGCACTGTCCCTAAGAGGAATTTCTCCTTCAGGGAAGCCTCAGTTTTGCCCGTTTATCTAATTGAATCAGTTTTCTACCCAATCCCCCGATTTTGTAGGATAATCTTCCTTATCTAAAGTAACTGATTATGGACTTTAATCACATCTACAAAAACACTTCCATGGCAACAGCTAGATGAGTGTTTGATTGAATAACTGGGACTGTAGCCCGTCCAAGTTGACACACAAAACTGACCATCGGACTGGGCGCGGTGGTTCACACCTGTAATCCCAACACTTTGGGAGCCTGAGGTGGGCGGATCACAAGGTCAGGAGTTCAAGACCAGCCTGGCCAACATGGTGAAACCCCATCTTTACTAAAAATACAAAAAATTAGCCAGGCGTGGTGGCATGCGCCTGTAATCCCAGCTACTCGGAAAGCTGAGGCAGGAGAATCGCTTGAACCTGGGAGGCAGAGGTTGCAGTGAGCCAAGATCGCACCATTGCACTCCAGCCTGGGTGACAAGGCAAGACTGTGTCTCAAAAAAATAAAAACCTGACCATCTAGTCATTGTCATCTGGGCACCTTCACACATCTCCTTAACTACACTTAACCTCCAAATAAGTACGATAGCATAGTCATAGTCCCACCCAACATGATACACTTATCTTGCATACAACTGAAAACCACTAACCCTTTCCCCAACAGAGCCCACCAGCAGTGGTGGAGATGTCAGTCCATGAGCACACACACAAGACAGGGACTGCTGGCCCTCCCAGGTGGTGTCAACACAACATCACACACAGGTGGGGGCCTGATAGCCCAGCACCCATGATACAGGGGCTACCAATGCTTAAAACCACACCCAGGGAGGCCACAGAGGCACTCAGTGGGTGGTGGGTTGGTGGATGCACATTTACCAGGCACAGGGCGGAGGTGGGCACCACAAAGTTGCATTCACTCAGCAAACGTACTGGGTATCTTGTGCCCAAGCCCTGTATTTGTGGAGCTGATATTCTAGTGAGAGACAGTAAATGTGATAAAAGTAAAACATAACAGATGGTGAAAAATTAAAGCAGAAAAGTGAGATCAGAAGTGGAGATGTTGGGGCCAGGCACAGTGGCCCAGGCCCTTAATCCCATCACTTTGGGAGATGCAGGCAGTTGGATGGCTTGAGCCCAGGATTTCAAGACCAGTCTGGGCAACATAGCAAAAGCCTGTATCTGCAAAAAAAATTCAAAAATCAGCTAGGTGTGGTGGTGCGTGCCCAGATTCCCAGGTACTCGGAGGCTGAGAGGTGGGAAGATGCCTTGAGCTTGAAAGGTCGAGGCTGCAGTGAGCTGTGATTGCACCACTGCACTCCAGCTTAGTTGACGGAGACCCTGTTTTTTTAACAAAGAAGCGAAGGTGTTTACACAAGCAAAATACTCCTTCTTTTAAGTGTAATTAAGTTGATCCAAAAAAAGTGGAAATGTATAATTAAAAAACATAGGAGCAAATCTAACATGAAATGTAATATCTGCATGTGGAGAATTGTGTTACTTTATTGAAAAACATTAAAAGTTTGAGAAAAGTTGGACAGTGGTTTCGTGAGCATTCATTACGGCTTATATATGTTCCATATATTTATTATTAAATAGATGACAAAGGTTTTCTTGTTTATATATTTTTGAAATGAGTCTCACTCTGTTGCCCAGGCTGGAGTGCAATGACGCCATCTTGGCTCACTGCAACCTCCGCCTCCTGGGTTCAAGTGATTCTCCTGCCTCAGCCTTCCGACTAGCTGGGATTACAGGGGTGCATCACCACGCCCGGCTAATTTTTATATTTTTAGTAGAGACGGGTTTTCACCATGTTGGCTAGGCTGGTCTTGAGCTTCTGACCTCAAGTGATCTGCCTGCCTCGGTCTCCCAAAATTCTGGGATTACAGGCACCAGCCACCAGCCACCGCACCGGGCCTTTTGTTTATTATTATTTTTTTAAATTCTTGACAAAGGTCAAGGAAGGCCTCACTGAGAAGGCGGTATTAGAGCAGCCCCAAAGGAAAGGGAATAAGCTTGGGGACATCCACACATCCAGGCAAGAGTGCTCCAGACAGAGGGAACTGCAAGTGCCAGGGACCTGGGACAGGAATGTGCTGGGGTTTATGGAACACATGAAAAGGAGGCTTGGGCACAATGAGGGAGCAGGGATAGGAGAGGAAATCCAGACAGGTCACAGAGGGCCTTGGTGAGGACTTGGCTTTGCTAGATAACTAAACCCAGAGGGAGATTACACAGTCTGGTGCACACTGCACGCTCCAGGGAGGGGGTGTATGTGAGGTGCACAGCCACCACAAAACAGACAGTGGGGACTCGAGCACACAGCATGCTTGCCCCCCTGCAGAGCTAACCCACTATGCTACAATCATGGTACCCCCAGGGACCCCATCCCATTGACAGTCCCACAAACAGATACCTTCAGGGAGCGACCCAGCCACATGAATACACAAACAACCCTCTAACCACCACTTAACCCGATAAGCTATCTCTCACCCCATCGCAGACTTTGCCCATCACAGGCTGACTCAGCCCTGTCCTTAGCCCAGCACTATCAGAAGCAGCCTCATCAGCCCTGCCCCAGCTTCTCAGGTGCTCGTGTCTGCACGTCTGCTCTGCCCACGGAGGCCGACACAAGAACGGTGACATGGAGTGGGGGAGCTCGCCAGCTACTCTTCCCATCACGCGGGCTGTAGACGTCAGAAACCAAAGTTCATCGGTTTCACTGCCTTGTGACTGGGGCCACAGGAACTGCATTCAGACGCTGGCCTACTGTGATCTGCACATGCAGTCTTAGACACCCACAACAAAGGACGTGGACATACGTGAACACTATTCACACAGCTGGGGACTAGACACACTGAGCCACAAAGGCCTTGCGCACGGCCACAGCTGCAGAGTCACGGATGCTCACACAGCTTCAAATGTGTGTGCCAGGTGTGGTGGCACATGCCTGTAGTCCCAGCTACCTGGGAGGCTGAAGTGGGAGGATCGATTCAGCCCAGGAGGTCGAGGCTGCAGTGAGCTGAGATTGTGCTGCTGCACTCCAGCCTGGGCAACAGAGCGAGACCCTGTCTCAAAGCAACACACACACACAAAGTTGTGTGTGCACAGAGCCTCAGACACGGGGGGGGGGGGGGGGGCAGAGTCATTCCCTCACCCAGGCACCTGCGCTGAGTTACACACACTTAGTCACTGCAGATCCCACAGTGGCTCAGAGCGACACACACATATACAGGTGGGGATGAAAACCTCATGTTCTTAATGCCGCCTCAAAGACAAATTGCAGTACAGTTAAAACAGAGCATCCACCCCACACCCAGAGATGGCCAAAGCACACACGGTACAGTCGATCACACAGGCGGTTTCACACATTGATTCACACAGCCAAGTCATGCGGGATTGTATGCACACAGCCTTCTCACAGGAAACTGGGCACACTTGTGCCCCTCGACGTCCCCCACTGCATACCCAGGCACACCGGATCTCGCACCCCCAGATGCCAAGGCGCACCTTTGCATCCGCAAGCACACACACTGTTCACACAACGGGGTACACATGCCGGCTAGCCCGGCCCGCCGCCCACGCAGTCGCATGCCAGGGTACACTTGGCCAGCCCCGCCCTTGGCCACGCCCAATCAGGCCCAGGCAATCACGCCAGACGCACACACGGCGCGGGCACACGTGCCGCGGGTACACGGTCCCCAGCTCGCCCGCGCACTCGGCCGGCTCTCACACCCCCGCGTTTCCCGTCCCCGCTTGTTTTTCTGGAAACTCTGCTCTCCGCTCCCCTCCCCCTAGGCAGGAAGTGTTGGCTGTATTTTTAGCCTCTCTGGTTTCCGCCCCTTTCCTTCTCTTCTCGCCCGCCCAGGACTGGCCCCAGCGCCCCGCGGGGGACCCCGGCCATCCCCTTCCCCACCGTCATTCCAGAGGGGATTCCCGGCCGCCGCTGGGGCTGCGGATTTTCCCGCTGGCTACGTGGGGAGCAGGGAGGAGTCCTGCCATGAACTTCCTCCTGGCCTGGGACGCCCGAGACCTGCGGGGAGGGCTGAAGGCCTGGGCTCCTGGATCTGAGGGCGGACGGGCTGGGGGTCTCCCGAGTCTGAGGAGGGGTTAGGGGCCTGGACCGCTGGATCTGAGGGAGGAGGAGCTGGGGGCCTGGACCCCTGGGTCTGAGGGAGAAGGGGCTGGGGTCTCAGGGGGGGGGCCTGAGGATCTGAGGGAGGAGGGACTGACGGCCTGGATCCCTGGGTCTGAGGGAGGAGGGGTTAGGGGCCTGGACCCCTGGATCCGAAGGAGGAGGGGCTGGGGGCCTGGACTCTTGAGTCTGAGGGAGGAGGGGCTGGGGATTCAGGCCCCTGGGTTACTGCGAGGGAGGAGGGACTGAGGCCTTGGTCTCCTGGGTCCCCAGGTCTGTGGGTTTGGGGAGGTGGAAGACCAGTCCTTCTGCGAGCAAAGCATCCCCCTCCTTTGAGAATGGCCCTATCCCAAAAGTCCTGACTCGGGGCGATGACTCAGCAGATGGAGAGAGGAGGGGGACAGGCTGACTCAGGGATGGGAAATGCTCCCAGTATCCAGGGAGTAGAAACTGGAATCCCTCCTCCAGGATCGATCGCAGCCCGAGCTGAGCCGGGCTCCGCAGACCCAAGGGTGCCCCCCACTCCCCTTTCCCCGCCTCAGTCCTATAAGCTGTGTAAGGATTTGGAGCTCGGCCGAGAGGCGGGTCCCAGGTCCCCCTCCTCCCCCCTTTTTCCCCGTTATCCTCGGGGCTCTGTTTACAGGAGACGGGAGCCCTGGTTACAGGAGAGGAACCCGAGTGTCCGGGCTGAACCTCCTCGTCACGGCTTACAGGAAGCCCCCACTCCCCCGCCCCTTGCGAGTGAGTCACAGGCGAGCAGGAGGCCACAACCGTGCCAGAGCCGCCCGCGGCCCGCCCAGCTCACGAGACCGGCCCGGGAAGGCCCCTCAGCAAGCGCCGCATCAGGGAATCCCCCCGCCGCTCTCAGACGAAGCAGGTCGACGTGGAGCCTGGCAGAATCTCCCCACCTTAATACAAGCCCGCAGCCTGCAAGAATGAACTTTCCACCATTATAACTGCGCACTGTGGCAATGATTTCTACCCCCGCATTTTCACTCAGGGCAGCCAGCTCTCCAACACCCCTTAAAAAATAAATTGTCTTTCAAGATCTTAAGAGGGTTTTCACTTAGGGCAACCCTTGGATAACAAAAGATGTGCCAGTGTGGGGAATGATCCTTGAAAATGTAGTCTGGGCCGGGCGCGGTGGCTCACACCTGTAA